ATAAATTAATTAATAATAATCAAATATTAAATATGAGAATGATTTTTATGTTTTTAAATTGAAATTGTAATATATATATATGGTAGTCAGATATAAGAATATTTCAAAAGTATACATTTAAATGAAACTTTCCATAATAAAAAAAATCTTTTTAGTAAATATTCTTAATTATATAATGATTTAGAGCAGTTAAATTATTAGGTATATGTATCTTTTTAATGGATTTTGGGTGACATTTATAAATGATAAATTTACAATTATAAATAAGCAATATCTTTTTATTAATAATTAAAGTAAAGTATAAATATTTTAATTCAATTTTAAAAGTGAAAAATGATTTAATTGTTTGCTTATTAAAATAAAAATTAATATCTATAATCTGCCTTATTGTTTGCTATTATGATGCAACTATTTGCTTTGTTGATAATTGTAAAAAATTTCAGTTAGGTAATATTATTAACTATGTGTATGCCCAGTAAGAAAATTTTAAGTAAGTATATTGTACGAAATATACAATAAGTCTGATAAAGTATTTAAAAATAGCTCAATAAAAATAAAGAATTACTAACATGCTTTTAGAATTTTACATGTATTTAACACTGTTGTCAAATAGAAGAAGTACTCTCATGAAAAAAAATATATCTGGTCACCATAATTAATTATGTATATAATATATACTTACTGCCAAATGCAATGGTACAGTGTAATATTCATTGGAACGGTCCATGATTTTTACATTTACCTGAAGGTGAATGGCCGCACTCGAAATTTACGCCTTTGAGCATTGCCAATTTGCCTGACGTAAAACCTGCTAAATCCGTTTCACTTATTGTCCGCGGCACACTGTCTGACGATTATTTATTATTGCGCTTCTCATCATTAGCAAAACTACAGCGTTCAATGTCATATAGTCTTCGTTTTGTTAATGCAGTTATACTTAAACGAAAATGTGATATGGGCCCAATTACGTTGATTGAGCAAACTCGTGCGATTCATGTTGCTGTTCGTCTAACGCAAAAAACCTATTTCACCGGTTTGTTAGAATTATTGTCAAAACCAGATGTTATAATCAAACCGCCCTCCATAGCTCAACTCGCTCCGTTTTTAGACGCAGATGGATTAATACGCGTTGGTGGACAACTAAGGTACTCTTCGCTACCTATGAACGCTAAGCATCCATTGCTATTACCAAAATCGTCACATTTAACCACCTGAATAATTGATTATTACCATTCTGCCTTTTTACACGCTTGTCCAAAATTTATTATTTCTGCATTAAGACAGCGATTTTGGATCCTTTCCGCACGTAATGCAATACGTCAGTGCATATTTAAATGCATAACTTGTACTCGGTATAAATCTAGCCATCCTAAACCGTATATGGGTGAGTTGCCCACGCCACGCGTACAATTTCAGCGTGTTTTTATGCAGGTTGGTATGGATTATGGTGGACCATATATGGTAAAAGAGTGTAGACGACGAAATGCTCGCACAACAAAGGTGTACATAGCTTTATTTGTTTGTATGGCAGTAAAAGCCATACATATTGAAATAGTGTCAGACTTATCTTCCGAAGCGTTTTTAGCAGCATTGGACCGGTTCGTTGCGCGACGCGGTCTAATGAATGACTTATACTCAGACTGTGGTACAAATTATATAGGGGCAGCCCGTCAAATGAAATCATTATTTGATGATCCTGCAGTACGACAACAATTAACAGCACGTGTTCCGTGCTTGGCACTTTAATGCACCTGCTGCACCTCACATGGGAGGTTGCTATTAAAAGCATTAAATTCCATCTCGAACGAGTAATTGGTATGCAAATTCTTACGGTTGAAGAATTCAACATGCTTACAGTACGCATTGAGGGTATATTTAATTTAAGNTCGAACGAGTAATTGGTATGCAAATTCTTACGGTTGAAGAATTCAACATGCTTACAGTACGCATTGAGGGT